AGCACTCTGGAGGCTGAGGTGGGAGGATTGTTTGTTTATTTATTTATTTATTTATTTGCTGAATGGGGGATTGAACTCAGGCCCTTGTGCTTGCCAGGCAAGCACTTATTCTACTGAGCTATCTCCCCAGTCCTGGGAAGATTGTTGCATTTGAAATCAGTCTGAGCTACAAACTGCACAGGGAGACCCAGATTAAAAAAAAAAAAAAAAAAAAGGGTCAGTGAGATAGCTCAGCGGTCTAAAGCGTCTGCTTAGGCAAACTTAGGCAGGCACAGGGGATCGAGGCTCAATCCCCGCACCACATGCCTCACCAGCACCCTCCTCAGCATGCTGAGATGGCTCAAAAAGAAAAAGAAAAAAAAACAAAACAAAACTAAGGGCTAGCCAGATAGCTCTGTGGACTAAAGCACCTGCTTAGGCAGAGTGCAGTGGCCGGGGTTCAGTCTCCACCTTGCCATGCTGGCCCTGCCCCCGGGGCACTGTGAGACAATGACCGAGACTGGGCATGGTGGCGTGTGCCTGGTGTGCCTGGGAGGCTGAAAACAGGAGAATTACGAGTCCAATCTGTGTAGGGAGACCCTGTAGACCCTGTGCCAAATACATTTAAAAACAGACAAAGAACAAACAAACTGGGGAAGAGGAATGGAGATAGTAACAGTAATGGGATTAAAAAGAACCAGTGTCAAAATAAACTACAGTTCGGGGTAGAAGCAACATGGACAGGAAAAATAAGGATAAAGGAAAGAGTAGATCAAGGAAGTTCTAGGAGTTTCTGGGGTGAGTTCCTGGGCATTCCTGCGGACAGCCCAGTGACGCCCTCCACCCAGGCCCCACTTCCTTACCCGGCTATTCATCTACTGAACTCGTCAATGAATGAATCTACTGAAGAGCACAGTGCCCTATGATCCAACCTCTTCCACATGCAAGATTTTTAGAGTGATGTCTTATTTTTTATTGATACATATAAAACAACATTCATCACAGGAAATTTGTACTGTATATCTTACTTTGTTTCCTATTCCCTTCCTCTTTCAACCCTTCTTCCCCTCATTTACAAAAGCCTTGTTTCCATTTTTTTCCTTTTATTCTTTGTCCTTGCCTTCCTTTTTTTTTTTTTTGGCGGAACCGGGGATTGAACTCAGGCCCTTGTGCTTGCCAGGGAAGCGCTTATTCCACTGAGCCATCTCCCTGGCCCCTTGCCTTCCTTTTTAAGGGGATGTTTTAGATCTCAACCATGCGTTTCCCATAACCTTGTCTCCTCCTCAGGATTTTCCATGTGGCAGGTGAATAATCATTTTTTGGGGGGGCTACCATTTAGGTATACATAAGGACTGTATTCATTATAGGGAATTTGTATCTGTGCCTGATATATCTTGATTCTTTCTGTTGGATAACGGGGTGTGTGTGTGTGTGTGTGTGTGTGTGTGTACATGTGTGCCTTAGTGCATGCTGGGCCTTGTACATGCTAGACCAGCTGTCTGCCCCGGAGCTATACCCCACAGCCTGATTCTAACTTTCCTGAGGTTACACTGTTAGCTATCATTCCAATGGGAAAGACAAAATTTCCTCTTTCTTTCATTGTTCCTTTGAAACATGGTCTTGTTATGCGCTTCAGGTGGGCCTTAAATTCATTATGCAGCACAGGCTGATTTCAAACTCACAGTGATCCTCTTGCCCCACACACCTGAGTGCTGGGATTACAGGCATGCACCCCCACAGTTCATCTTTCCTTTTCTTTTCCTTTCCTTTGAGATAGGGCCTTGCTATTAGTTCTGGCTGGGTTTGAACTACGTAGCTCAGGCCAGTCTTGAAGTCACAGTGGTCCTCCTGCTTCAGCCTTCCAAGTGCTGTGATTACAGGTGTGCACCACATACGGCTTTTTATTTCTAATTCAGGAAGTTTTAGAGGCAGGCTCAGTTCAGTCCAGCTTGGGAAACAGGTCATCCCTGGAGCTACTGTCTTGGAGGGGCAGGGTGAGAACACTATAACTGGCAGCCTCATCAGCACCTCCAGGTGTCGAGGACAGTTCCCCAAGGGGAGAGGGTACTGTGCTCTCAGGATAGTCCCTACTTCCTAAGCCTCCCTTGTCTCATTCTAAAGTGGTACAGGTGGCTGCAGGCTGAGTCAATCTTGAGGACTAGAAACGCAGAATTGTCCAACACTCAGCGGATGCAATGATTTGCTGGCTGTGTAATGAACTTAGTGTGATTTTTCAACTGTAAAAAGACTATGTAGCTCGGTGTGGTGGAGCATGCTGATGCACAGCGATTGATGTGAGTTCGAGGCCAGCCTAAATTACACAATGAGACTTTGTCTCAACACATTGGAAAAGAAAGGATAAAACATTTTTGAAAAGAAAATGAACCGGTTATTTCACATTAGTGAATTTTCATTCTATGTCTTTTCCTACACCTTTATTATTTTTTTTTCTTTTTTTTTTTTTTTTTTTGTTTTTATTTTTGCGGAACCGGGGATTGAATTCAGGCCCTTGTGCCTCCCAGGGAAGTGCTTATTTTACTGAGCCATGTCCCCGGCCCCTTTTTCCTACACCTTTAAAAAATTTTTATTTTATGTATTTAGTACAGGGTCTCACTGTAGACCCTGTCCACTCAGATTGGATTCATAGTGATCCTGTTTTCAGTCTCCCAAGCCCTGGGTCCTAATCTCAGTCTCAGCTCGCCCAGAGGCGGGGATCGAACCTCTGACCCCTGCTTCTGCCTAAGCAGGCGCTTTAGTCTGCTGGGCTATCTGGCTGGCCCCACCTTTATTTTTATTTTTAAAATTTTATTCATTTATTTGTGTGTGTGTGTGTGTGTGTGTGTGGCCAGCTCAGCCCACTAGGGGGCGGGGCTGGCTGGCATGTGGTGTTGGGGGATTGAACCGCGGTCCCTGTGCTCTGCTAAGCTTGTTCTAAGTAGGTGCTTTAGACCACTGAGCCATCTCACCAGCCCCGCACCTTTTTTTTTTTAAATTTTTTTAATTTTTAAACATTTATTTATTTATTTATTGTGTGTGTGGCCAGCTCAGCCCACCAGGGGGCGGGGCTGGCTGGCATGTGGTGCTGGGGGATCGAACTGCGGTCCCTGTGCTTTCCCAAGCTTGTTCCAAGTAGGTGCTTTAGACCACTGAGCCATCTCGCCAGTCCCTTTTTTTTTTTTTTTTTTTTAAGGTGGAACTGAGAATTGAACTCAGATCCTTGCACTTGCCAGGGAAGTGCTTATTCTACTGAGCCATCTCACCAGCCCCACACCTTTATTTTTAAACATACACATTTTTTAAAATGTAACTCATACAGTGTCTTGAATACTGAGCAATATGTTCGATTTTAATTGATTTCTTTAAAGTCAATATTTACATAAAAAAGAATTTCGTGTGCTTTTACACTGGTATGCATGAAGGAAAACATGAAGGACCTCTCTGGAAAACATGAAGGACTGCTGGTAAATATTTATTGGCAAATATTTGTTCAGCTCTTGCTGCGGACATGGTAGTCTCTCGACACCAGTGGAGGTAAAACATGAATAAGGTATACTAAGCTTTAAGGGTCAATCTTTTTGTTTTGTTTGCAGTTCAGGCTGGCCTTAAACCTTCTATGTGGTCCAGGGTGGCCTGAACTTGGACCGATCCTTCTGCCTCACCCTCCCCAGGGCTAGGGTTATGGGCGTGCACCACCGAGCCCAGCACCTTTAAGGGTTCACAGTCTCACAAATTTTGAAAAAGCCGTTTTTCTCTACTATGACTAAAACCCAATTATAAAATCAATATTAGAAAATAATACTGACATTTTGGGGATATAAACACATTAAAAATATTACGCTTACATAGGAAAAGAAACAGGAAGTGGAAGAGGGTAGACAGCAAAGATGGGGAAACTAAGCTTATGGGGGGGGGCTGGTGGCACTTGCCGCACTTTGACAGACTGGCAGGAAGACTGCAAATTCAAGCCTAGATTGAGCAATTTAGGGACTTAGGGAGACCCTGTCTTACAAAAATAGTAAAAGATATGGGGCCGGGGAGATGGCTCAGTGGAATAAGCGCTTCCCTGGCAAGCGCAAGGGCCTGAGTTCAATCCCCGGTTCTGCCAAAAAAAATAAATAAATTTAAATAATAATAATAATAATAATAAAGATGTGAACGAATAGCTCAGTGAGAAGGCCCTAAAACCAACCCCCAAGTACCGAAGAAAATCAAACCCCAAACTTAGGCGGAAGCGGGGCCAAAGGGCTTGAGAACTGGGCTTAGCGTCACATTATACAACTGGTTACGTTCAGATGTTGAAAATGAGGCCACACTCAAATATACGCGTCCTAAAGCAAAGTACGCGTTAAATGCAATTCCTATTTTGGCTAAGACGGCCTGCACCTCCCTGTGCTCCCGGCACAGCCGACTTTTCGCAGGGCGTTTACGTGACGATGCCCGGAAGACGCCTCTGCATCCACGCCCGGCGTGCTCCCGGTTAACCGCCCCGCGTCCCCGCGACCCCAGCGTAGGCCCCCAACTCCACGAGGCGGCCTAACCGCTGCCGCCAAGGTAACGCAGCGACCCCGTCCGCTTCAGATTTCGAGTCCTGGAGGAGCTGGCCTTGCCGAGGATCCGCATGTTTAGCTGCTCCGCTTTTCAGACGCAGCCAGATGTGTGCAAGAGGTATTATTTTGGGGGAAATCACTGTGCTCCGGCAGCAGGCAGCGTCCGGGACAGCGGCTTCCCCAGCTCCGCCCCGCGGCCACCCCACTCCCCTCTTCACGCCCCGCCCCATTCTCTGCTCACCCCGCCCCTCCTCCCCCCGCCCTCTGCGCGGACTCGGCCCCGCCCCGCCCACGTAAAGGCCACGCCCTAGCCTCTGGTCCCGCCCCTATCCTGAAGAACCCAATGAGCGTCCACGCAGGCCCCATCCCATGGCTGAGGGAGCCAATGTGTGGCCTCCGCCCTGCCCAGCAGAGGCCCCACCTCCGTGCTCGCCCTCTAGGCGCCACCTCCCTCCGGGGCGTTGCCGTGGCCACTCCGCCGCCTCGCGCGGACCCCAATGCCGCCCCCTCCGCGGATCCCTCCCCTGGCGGCCTGGCACCGCCCTCGCTCCCTCCCCGCCGCGGTGACTCACGGAGCGGGAGGCGGAGGCCGAAGCGGCCGCTCCCGCTTGTGCTGCTGCCGCCGCCGCCGCGGCTGCTCGGGCTGAGCGCGCTCCGGAACAGGCCGCACGCGCCGCGACCGGGACCCTCACTCCCGCCGGCTCTGCCGGGTCGGGCGGCCCAGGTAAGCGCGAGGCCCTCTGCGCCCTCAGCGCCGGGTCCGCGCTGCGCCGGGGTCGGAAGCCGCGGCCCTTTGTCTCCTGGGAAGGGGCGTTGGAGGGCGCCCCGACCCCGCGGGAACCCCAGCCTGGTTCCGAGGCTCTGGGCCGGGCTCCGCCTCCCGGCCAGGCTACCCTCCTGCCCCTCCCCGCCGCCACAGGTGTCCGCGCGACGCCCATCCTGTTGCTCACCGCTGAGGTTGTCATGCCCTGTCTGCCCTCCCGGGTTCCATGCCTCCTGTACTCCCTCACCTGCACCCTGCTCGCTGCATCCTGACTCCCCGTGTGTCCATCACTGCCAAGATCTGGCCTCCCGCCTGCCCTTGTCATTCTACTTTTCCCTGCCCAGTGTTCCTAGAAGGCACATTTTGCAGGCAACGTGTCTCACCTACCTGGCGGGACATGTACGTGAACCTGCAAAATTAACCACTTGGAACCCAAAATCACACTTGTCGCCTCCTTTTCATTGCTTCATCCCAACTGCTTTCCCCCTCCAAACCCTCTGGATGTTTTTCCCCAACCTCTTCAGGCCCTCCCTCTCCCGGACCGGGTACTTAGCTGCTCTGGTATTTGCTACCTGTGTCAAGCTCATGCAAAGGCCAGTGGAGCCAAGCTATTGGCCACAGATCCAGAGTTTTCTGAATCATGAGACATGTGGCTTGCAACACCTCCTGTTTGGGGATCTGTCTCAGCTAGAGCTGTTATTTTGTCTCCTGTCACTCAGATCTTAAGACTGTGTGCCTGGCCAACTGCTGGGTAAATTGAGGTACAGGGTGTGCTGGCAGGGGAGCCAGAGACAAGTCGGAATTAGTTAGTCTTGAGGTTCTTTCAGTCCGTAAGTGCTCTGGCTCTCAGCTCCTGGCACTGGGCTCTCAGTCCTGGCTCTGGACCCTAAGTGATAACTGATCTCTGGGCCATTAAAGTGTGCAGAGGTGCCAGCAATTCCTGGGGTGTAAAACAGGACTTTAAATCATAAACCAGGGTGCCAGTGTTCAGTGCCTGTGTGTGGGTCACGGCTTCCTGGTACAGTTAGTGGTCCTTTAGTATTTATGCAGGACAGGGTTCATTCATGCACCAGTGAGCCCCGAGTAAACCAGGCACCATGCCCTACACTGGTGCCTCAGCAAGGAGGGCAGACACAGTTCTGCCCTCCTGGAGGTGACAGTCTAAGGACAGAGAAGGACAGATGACCAGTGTGTGAACAAATAAGCAGACCCAGTCATCCTGGGAGTGGTCAGTGCCTTGGAGACAGGTCGGAGCCAGGACATGAGGAATATCTAGATGAAAAAAAAAGAAATGATTTGTAGATTGTAAGAATTTGTGTTTTACCCCAAGTACAGTTGGAAGCCATCAGAGTATTGCAAGCATAGAGGTGTTAAGATCTGAAAAAATTTGAAAAGATATTGGTGTAGAGGCAACATTATGCCGAGCAAATTGAAATGAGGGATACAGGCTGCCTGACCATTGCAGCCACCCTGCAGGAGAGGATGGTGGCTGAAGGGACCTTGGTGGTGGCAGTAAAATTGGAGGGGACTTTCCCCTTGGGACAAGCTGAGAGCTGGAAAGCAGAACTTTGGGGAACCAAAACTGAGAGTTCAGTGTCGGCTAGAGAACATCTTTTCTCTCTTTCTTGGGGAGTATCACTACATAGCCCAGTCTAGCCTCAAACTTCTGCAGAGCCCAAGCTGACCTGGAACCTGCTTGCCTCCTGAGTGCTGGAATTATAGGTATGCACTGTCATGCTCAGCCCTAGTGGAGGATTTCCAGACTGACAATGCTCAGACTTCATTCAGCACGTCTTTTTCAGGATCTGTTTTGAGGCCCAACTGTGCAGGATTGGAGGAGAGTTTCTGGGTTTAAACCCAGCCGGAGGCGGAGGCAGAACACTCTGAGCTCCCTTCCACACACTGCTGCATTACTGCCTTGCCTCGTGTGAGCTGTCAGTGCAGAGCTGTTGGAGCAGCTGAGGGGGTGGCCTGGTGCAAGTAAGGCCTTGGGTTACACACCCAGTATGGTTAGGAAAGAAGAAAAAAGAAAAGAAAGACAAACTGGGACTGTTCTCTCAGAACACCTGAGTGGCCCTGATCCTGAGCTATTAACTAGTCTAAAATTTGCACCCCAGTTTTTGTGGGGTCTCAAATTCCAGCTGTCAAAATGAGTGCCTTGGAGACCAGAATCCAGTTTAGTTTGTTGCTGTTATTTTATTTTATTTGTGTATTTTAGGGAAGGGTCTACAGGGTGTTCAGGGTCTCATTACTAGATTGGACTCGTGGTGATCCTCTTGTTTACAGCCTCCCAAGAACTGGGATTACAGGCTCGTGCCACCACACCCAGTCTCAATTGCTGTCTCTGCGCTCCAGGGGTGAGGCTGGCATGGCAGGCCTGGGGATCGAACCCCCGGCCCCTGCGCCAGCTTGCAAGCGCTT